AAGCCGCTATAGCTCAGCGGAGCCGCGCAGATTTTGTCAAGAACATTCTTCACACGGAACCGCAAAAATGTGTTGTTGTCTACGACACCTTAACGATGTAGGGAAGATGTTGTACTCGACACCAAGCCACGCATTCTTCAGTTCAAACTCGACACAGTCAGAGAACTGTCCTTTGTGGTTAACGGGTGTCACCAGCACTTTCATCGTCACTCACCAGGGCGTTAGTGCCAAGCGAACCCAGTTGCCGGAAAGGCTTTTGTTCGGTATGACTGCTGCTGTTCACCCGTGTCCAAGGAAACAAACGTTGGACCGTACATGTTTCGATTTGACGTTGGATCCCTTTACTCCATGGAGCCATTTGCATTGTGGAACTCGCGGGTACGCAAGTAAGTCTGAGGGCATGGTTGTTTTAACTCAGTACTTATGTAGGTTGGTAGGGGAACGCCAAGGTGCATACCTTGCGCCTTTCGTTCCCTCAGTGCGGGTGGTCTCACGTTCACGAACATTTAGTCACGCACGCTTTCGCCTCATAGACATAGAATACAGTCAACTTGGCAAAGCCCTGCATCATCAATGTCGCCGTTTGTGTGCCAATTAATACCTTGCGTGTCATTCGGGCTTCAATGAGCGGGGGGGCCTTTAGTTGCCTCCATAAGCTACGTAGATGCATAGCGTTGGGGTTTAACTTGAAAGAGGGACCAAAGCGTTTTACTGCAAACAGACGTCACGACGTTCGCTTTCATGTCAGATTTTGATTGACTCGGGTTTCATGCCCTTTTGGGTCGTTTTCGGTCGGGTTGTACCCTTTGGGCATAAGTAGCTATATCGTAGGCACAATATCTTCCATCCGTTGAGCTCGTGTTGTGTTCGTTTCACATTAGTCCGTAGTTTTGTCGAATAGACTATGGGATATCCTTGCACTCTCATCTTTAAGGCCGCACTGACTTCAATACGATTTTTTTTTTGGTTCTGTGGAGAGACTGTGAGGCGTGTTCATCGGCGGCCATGTGCCGGTTCGTAACTTCACCCTGATTCCGTCAATTGTATGCGCGTGATTTCAGTCCCTGATTTCAAAATCACAAAAATCGCGTCGATTTCAGCGTGATATACACACGGAATCCACACGGCACCACGAGAGACAGCAGCACCAACCACGAGAGACAGCAGCTCGGAACACATAGCCTGCCAAACGCGCTAAGACCACTGTAGAGGACGACGATCCATGGCTCGAGATCGCTTGCGGTGTCGCCGGTGATGCCGAAGGACAGGGGGCAGCTGCTGCCACGGCATCAGCACCTAGCCTCGATGGCGAGGGTTCGCAAGACGAAGAGTTGGACGACGAGCTCGCCACCCTCGTGGCAGACGAGCCCCCGCGTGCTGCCAAGCAGTCACCTCTGGCGACGGCGCTGCTGAAGACGGCCCTGGCAAACCCGGGTGGAGTTCGTTCATTGCTACGGGAGCAAGCGGAGACGACCGCGCAAGGGTGCGGGTGCCAGACACCCCTTCCGCAATGGAAGAAAGGCGACCCGGGCGGGGTTACAACCTGTGGGCGCCAACAGGCCCATATCATCGCTGGGGTGTCCATCCAGGTACGTGTAGTGGCTTTCTTTTTTCACGAAAGGCCGTGTATCAGACGGTGGGCAGCCTCCCGTCAAGCCGATACGTGGATTGTACAGCAACCAACATGTAACACCAGAATGCTTGTAGTTGTATACCTACAAACCGCTCTCTCTCGTACGTGCTGGCTCTATCCCAGCCCACAGATGCAGTCTATGTTGAAGCTCTAACACGAACGAAACGCAGGAATATCCTGTTGCACGCAGCAGCCACATGGATGCAGAGTTAGGAGTGGCACGGTGCTTGGCCCTAACGTACATGCCCTCTCCAAGACCAAAGAAAGTCTGCAAAATCAAAGAGAGCATACAAAAAAAATACGCGCCGTGTCACCCAAGATTTCAGCCCCCCCCCCCCCCGCACAAACGTTTGGCACACACACCCCGCTCCAAATGTCAGAGGTTCACTCCCGCACTGGGCCCGAAGAGGTGTGTAGTCACCACAAAACGTTTCGGGAAGTGGTCCACAAGAGCGTTACAACTCCGACGTTTTCTGCCTCGCCAATGTGCCTTTATTGAGGGCATTGAAGAACTGGAAATTACTATCGTGGGGGGGGTGATATCTCATACCACACGATGACATCGTTGCTTCACCTCAGGGTGCAAGATGAAACGACGGTACGCACGGTGGGTGGAGGTAATTAGACGGATTTGGCGGTGTCAATTATCCTGCCACCTTGCTCAGGGGGAGCGGTCACTTGTATTTGTTGAAACTCACCATATAGAAGGCGAGGGACAGCGAAGGCGACAATGTGCCGTACGTGCTTGCGCGCACGGTTAGGAGCAATCTACAATACTTGGCGGCGCAAGAGATTGGGGCTACTGGGCAAGGAAACCAATGCCGGCGCGGGGAATGTTTTGCAGCCGCTATGGGCATGTTTTGCGGCAAGGGGAAGGAGGGCATTCCTCGTGATGTCGTTCTAGCGTTGCTGAGGCACTAGTAGGCTCGCATCCACGGGTCTGTTCGAACGAGAGGCCTGGTTGAGGTCGACAGAGATGTTTTTTTTTTGTGGTTGTCTAGTTGCACTGGCGGACAGTGCGAAACTTTCGCTTAAAAAAATAATGCATAAGAGCAAGTACCAGGGTTGTTGTTGGGGGGCTACTCAGGCGTGCATGTGTGGGCAGAGGGGGACTAGAGGTTCTGCGCTCGACTTTTTTTTTTTAGGGCAGAGGGGGAGTAGAGGGTCTGCGCTAGGCGTATTTTTTTTTTTAATCTCAGCTTGTTCTGTTTATCATTCTATACAGGGCCACTTGGCAACGAGCAAGAGGGACACAAAAAAATAAAAGGCGAGAAACGCTGCGGCAGTGCACCTGCGATGTGCGACGTCTAGTTGCGACGTGATGCCGAAAAAGAAAATCCGCTGTCCGTCACCAGCGCATATGTGGAAGACAAGCTACGCGTAGGCCCCGCGACAGTTGACGCTTTTCCGCTGACATGCATCCTAAAAATACACGGCTGCCCATATCAAGCACACAAAGACCCGGCTGTCCCTTCCTCGGATGCTGGCTTTGGCGCACGCCATGCTCCACAGCTGCGAGTGTGTATGTGTGTGTTTTTTTTCCAAGCCATCTTTTGTTGTCTTCTCCGCTACCCCGCCAAAAAACAAAATACGACCTGCCACCATCGGCAGCGGCAGAGGGATGCGGTAGGTGCTCGCCATTTCTTCCGTAAGCCGTAGAAAAAATGTGTCGTAGACCCGTGCGCAAAGACAAAAAATAATGCATACCTAGACTCGGTGTGGAAGACACGCAAAACAGAAGGACCGTGCGGTCTGTGTTTCTGTTTCCCCCCCCGTGCGGACGTTTCCTTGCCCCCCCCCCCCCTTCCGAAAAGTTCGGGGGG